CTTTTCTCCATTTCGTAATATATATATATATATATATATATATATATATATATATATATATATATATATATATATTATAAATTAATTGATTTAAAATATGTTTTTTTTCGAAAAAAAAAAACATATTTTAAATCAATTAATTTTAATATTAATGCTGTAATAAATTTACATTGAGCACTATTTTGTAAAAATAAAAATATCTATAAGAACACCGGATTATATATCTTACTGTTCTTTTCTTTTATATATATATATATATATATATATATATATATATATATATATATATATATATATATATATATAAAGTAAAGGAGCAAAATCACTTTTATGTCTCAACATGCAACCTTGGTTTCGACCGTTAGGCCTCTTCAGGTGGCGGGCAATACGTGTTCGTAATACCATATCATACTACAATTATTCAGCTATGCCACCGGAAGTCAAGAACGGGAGGAGGTGTAAGCAAAAAATAAAAACATCTTCTTCTCTTCTCGACTTCCAGTGCCATAGCAGAATAATTGTAGTATGGTATGTTATTAGGAACATGTATTGCTCGCCACCTGACGGTAAAACCAAAGTAGTGTGCGGTTATATAAGATTTTGTATACCTTTATTATATTTACTTGCCCTGCATGTGTTTTTCAAAGCAGCTGCATTGAGCACTTTTTATACGACCGATTTTAGTACGGTATTTTTCCGTCCCCTTAGCAGATTTTGGTGGAATATATATATATCTTCGTACATCATGGCTGTTGGATCGTCTGTGACAAGTATTCCATATTCAGGTCAGGAATATTGTGTCCATGCTTGAAACAGGCTGTCGTCGCTTGGCATTGTCTTCAGTGTCCACGTTTATATATATATATAAACATATATATATATACACACACACACATATATATATATATATATACACACACACACGCATATATATATATATATATATATATATATATATATATATATATATTTAGTCTGAAGATCTCACCAACGTGTGTGTATGTGTGTGCGTGTGTGTGTCTCTGAAGATCAGGGAAACATTGTACGAAGGTTGATAACCATATATATATATATATATAGAGAGAGAGAGAGATAGATAGATAGATAGATAGATAGATATATAGATTGATAGATAAATTGATAATATTAGTGGGCAATATATATATATATGTGTGTGTGTATTTCCAAATGGATAGAATCCTGGTAGAACTCAATATCCAGGTTCGAAACCCAACTGAATTGGTGTCAGTCGGAGATTCTAACAATTAAGCCGTCGGCGCACGTTAGGCAGGAGGGATGGATTTTTATCGTATTTATTTTTAGAAACACGCCCAGTGACCGACAGTGACTCAATTCGCTTTCGCGAAATTTGGTCTGAAGATCTCAACAAGGTGTGTCTGTGTGTGTGTGTGTGTGTGTGTGTGTGTGTGTGTAAAGATCGTGGAAACATTGTACGAACTATGCCTAGCATAATTTGAAGAGGTTTGAACAGTCTATGTAAGCACAATATTGTAGGGACATTTCCCTTTCTTCCTGAGCAATGCTTTTTTTTTTTTCTGGTTTTCCCCGACTTCAAAGTTTTTTAGTAATTATCCGTTCTTCATGGAGGTTCTGATTTTAAATGATATTTCCAATTTTTTCAATTTGGTCCCGATTTTTTCCAATCCGTTTTTTATTCCGTCTTCTACGCATGCGCATTCATAAATTCAACGTTCTTCTAAACACGCACGTTCAGGAATTTTTACTCTTGTGTACCTCTTCATTTTTTTCAGCTGTAATATTTTCTTTCAGTTGTAAAGTCGAAATTAACTTTTTTTTTAGAAATTAAATTAAATTTTTTAAGGTTTATATCGAAGTTGTTATGTTATATTATTAATTAAATTGTAATATTTGTTAATTTGTATTATTAATTAAATTAAAATATTTGAATTGTTTTATTATGTTACCCTATTATTAAAGTAGCAAAGTAAATAATTGTTAATATGTCGACATTGACCCATTATTTCAATCTTATTTAATAATTTAAGTTGATTATTAACTGTTAATATTGATAATTTTTCTTCTAAACACTGTCTAAATTTCTTATTGATAATATTATATGGGGGGTATTTTGACATTTATCTTTAGTAGGAATATTATTTTCTTTTTGATCCCATATATATTTTGATAATATTGTGTTATTTGCATATATATATATATATATATGTGTGTGTGTGTGTGTGTGTGTGTGTTAGGAAAGTCAACGACAAAGTTGACAGAATCACTCGTGTAATATATAACTTAATCGGACAAAGTGATGTTTACATTGATGTGATGATACATGCGCACAAAGATGACGGGACGGTGCAATGTTAAACTTTTACTTTTTTTTAAATATGTGTTTCAGTGTATAGTACTTCATTTAGTTTTTTTTTTATATAGTTAAAGTATTTATCACTTTTGCTATTAAATATCACACATTGTGATAATAGAAGATCTGCTAAGAAAGGAGGGAGATTGTAAGTATCTTGTTATACATTTATTGTGGATGATCTGCAAATCAAAGCACTTTCTATACACTTTCGTCTTATTAAATTATTTTCTCTTTTCATTAAAGCAGAATTTTTTATCACACTTATTACTTTGAGCAACTAACGCATTGAGCCAGTTGTTTTGTGAAAGGCCCCCTTTGTATTCATATATTTTATTTAAATTCTTTGAGTTTCAACTATGTATTTCTTGTGGCAATCATTACAGGTGATAGAGTAAATTCCATCTTCAAGCTTATTATCATCTTGTTCCTTATTAATTCAAAATAACATCAGACATTTCCACTTTGTCATTGAGTCTCCGAATGTTTATCTGGTATATAAAATGTATATATTTTTCTCATATATATATATATATATATATATATATATATTCCTTCAAATCCCTTAAGTTCATCTCTTACTTCTTACATCTTTACTTCTCCCTTTCTTTTTTTTTTCTCTGCTTATATCGTTTCCAGTAAGATGACCTATTAAATAGGTCAATGTCTGATACTTACCCCCTTCCTCTCTATTAAGTATTGTAATAAAATTAAATTTAAATGCATTACCATCTCTCCTTTCTCTTCTAATTTCGACCATGTCTGTTACACTATCTCTCACCCCTCTCTATATCATCCTACATCAGCTGAATACTACCCTCCAAACGTGTAAGTTTAAATTCCATTTTTTCATATTTGAAGAGAGGTCTGATAATCCAGGGAACAAGAAAATCCCTGTGAAATTAATTATAACCTTATAGAACCTTAAAGTTGTCTGGTTTTCTTTTCTTCGTACAGCACTGTATATATATATATATATATATATATATATATATATATATATAGTGCTGTTCGATAAAAGTGACTCACCTGATTTTTTTTACTAAATGTTCCCCTCTCCGATGGAACGAAAGTTGAGCTAAAGTTGAGGATAACCGATAAGTTTTTGTTACATGTAAGATTTCCAGGCAACGACAAACTCGTGCATACGAGACGCGGAAGTGAAAATCGCACCGCAGCTCGTGACGCGAGAGTGAAAACGAGAAGTGTTAAGTATGGGAAGCCGTTGGTATAATCCAATGAGTTCTGTTATCAATTATAGGCATTTAAGAATATTTGTGGAGATTTCATAGATTATTTTGTTCAGGTTAGGTTTCAACTGTTTTATGTATATAGCTTCAAAACTTTTTATTTTCTGTTTATTGTTTTCATAGTTAAGTATACTTGTGTTTTTCAACGAGTATATATATATATATATATATATATATATATATATATATATATATATATATATGTATGTATATATATTCCGTAGATCTACATGAATAGGCTTATAGACAAATTGATGGGTAGATTCAGTCAATAGTTAAGTGCCATATTTTCTTTCGACACATGACTGACGAGGCAGATTTTTTTTCATAGACTAGTTGCAGACCAAGGCAAAAGGACCCAGTCTGTACTGCAATTTAACCCATAGCTGGGGAGATAAGAGATGCATTCATACCTTTCCCAAGGTTATTTGTACGTAAGTGAGTCTCACGAATTCGACTAGAATCCGAGTTCTCT